ACATGGCAGGGCTGGCTTAGGGTTATCTGGTTAACGATACACATATCTGACTTGTGTGATATGGCGAATCAGAGGATACGGCGTGAAATAACAAGTCGAATCTTTTTATTAGAGTGGCATAATCAAGCCAGTGCTACCATTTATACTACCTATGATCACCGGCTGTGTAATACTGATGGTAACTGACTGACATGGCATCTAAAAGTCATTCCGTAATAAACATATAATCCTAGCCACAAAGGGCTAAAGGATCCTAAGACATAATATACTAATTCTGAACGCATTCCATCAAAAACGAAATATAGCAGGAACTGGCAATTTCAAATGCTATACTGCTGCTGTAACTCACATGGTTGTTTTCCATGCACGTGCAGGAAAAATCCAACATAAATGACCAGCCTTTGTTTATACGTGATGATACAGAACGTACCTCAAAAACAGGCTGCGCTCGTATGTTATTATTTGATGGTCGCCGCAATAAAGCTGTAAAATATTTGAATTTCACCTTCCTAATGCACGCACCTAGCGTGAACATGCGTGCAATGATTTTTTTTGGACGTCATGTACAACCACCGCACTGCATAAAAAATGCTCACTGACCGAGTTGATGAACTTTTGCTGTATTCGTTTTTGTCTGCGTTTTATCGGAACTGTCAGTTTATTCAGTCCATTTGTCTATGCCATAAAATGGGGTGAATCTTGGAATGAGAGATAACAAAATACACTTGTAGAAGCCTTTGTTTTGGCATTTAACTGTTTTTGAGATAGGGGGCAGAGAGCTTAGCTACTTACATACATACATAAATACATAACTTAATGCAAGGTCAACTGTTAGTCCATCAAAATCATATATGTTGTAGAGGCCCTATAGAAGCATGTATCTAGGATATATACATACATTATACAGGATGGCGCATCGAAAACGAAACAAACGCATTTACTGGCAGCTCAGTTGTTTTTTGGAAAAACGCTCAGACCCGTCGATTTTGTTTTCGATGGGTACACAAGTTTGGCAAAAAATCACGTTAACACGTGCAGCCTCCTGGGCGGGGGTGACGCCAACCCTAAAATCTTAAATGGAAAGCGGGGTCGAGTGATACCTTATTTTGAATGTCTTTCAATTCCCTTTATGATGATGTAAAATACATGAGCTTCAGTAAAGTAGTTTTGAAGATTTATTGATTTAAAGCTTAACATCAGATTAGTTTGTACTACTTTCAGAATAAATTTGTCTAAAAGAATTTACTTAATACGCCCATGGTTTGTTTATCATTTTATTGTTGAAAATAGCTATTGGAGCGTTTTTTTTTTTTGTGGCAAAAAGTTATTTCTTGAAGAAAGATAAGGAAATATCTCGTACTTATTTTAAATAGGATGAATTATAAACGATGAATATTTTCTATTCAACACTTTCTTTTCCGACGAATGTTCCGTTTTCTTAAATGGCGTAGTAAATCGTCATAACTGCCGATGTTGGTCCGATTCTAATCTCAGAATTTATCATGAGGTTCATACACAGCAGCCACAGAAATTAAATGTTTGGGCTGGTATTTTTGGCGATAATTTAGTTGGTCCTTTTTTATTACCTGGAAATTTGACCGGTGAAATGTATTTGGAATTACTGAAAGAGGCCATAGATCCTGCATTAACAGCCATAATTGGAAATCAGAATGATCGTCGGTATATTGCGAATAGGTTGGTGTTTCAACAGGATGGTGCCCCACCACATTACGCATTACGTGTTCGAAAATATTTAGATCAGACGTTTCCAGATCGATGCATTGGTAGAAGAGGTGCCATTGAATGGCCCCCAAGATCGGCAGATTTATCACCTTTCGATTTATTTATGTGGGGTCATTTAAAAAAAAATCTATGCTACTCAGCCAACATCATTAGAAGACCCGCGACAAAGAATTGTGAATGAGTGCCTTCAAATTACTCCTCAAATATTGAAAAATGTGCGGCAACGTTTTGAGCAAAATATTTATCATTGCATTTTCAACATTTACTTGCCTAACGGGTTAGTTCATTCTTCATTTTTAAATTACTTTGCTGCCAAATGTATTGATCTCCACTAATGATGATGTATTAGTTTTATTTCAGCTTTAAATCAATAAACCTTCAAAACTACTGAACTGAGGTACATTAGTTTGATATCATTATAAAGGGAATTGAAAGACCCTTAAAATAAGGTATCACTCGACCCCCCTTTCCATTTAAGATTTTGGGGGTGGGTTCACCCCCGCTTAGGGGGCTGCACGTGCTAACGTGATTTTTGCCAAACTTGTGTATGTTTCGTTTTCGATGCGCCACCCTATATAGGGTGACTTTGAAGTTGAGTCATTTATTTTAACAGTGAGTAGATCTGATCAAAAGAAACGTTTCTTCCTTTACCATTTTTCTGGTAAAGTTAAAGTAACAAAGTTATAGCCTTTTGGAAGTTTGAGTACCGCCCTGTCTCAATAATAATATTATGTGCTCGTGTTTGGCAACAACGGATATAATCCGACTTATCGGTTCATCCCATCGGAAACAAAAAAGCGGAAGAATTTGGAACGATGTTTTTACAATTATTTTATTCAATTGTATACAGTCAGTGACAGTCGGTAACGCGTGAGTGAATAGTGGTGTCTGTTGCGTGGCTCAAACGAAATCAAAAATGGCACATGTTTACGAAAATGCTGAACTTGTGGACATGATTCTTATTTACGCGGATCACGGATTTATGAGGATCGGTTTCCCAATCGAGTGCAACCAACCCCTCGTGCCTTTGTTAATGTAGTACAACGGGCTCGTGAATCAGGTGACTTAAGACCCTACAGGGGAGAGCATGCCGGTGCTCCAAGACCTCACGATCAAATACAGGTCCGCACTGAAATACTTGTCGGGAGGATACTTTATAAAACTAGGTAACATTTTTTTTTTATTTTTACACACATATTTTGGTTTATCTTCCTTCTACAATCATTATCTTAAAATTAATGACTCAACTTCAAAGTCACCCTGTATATATATATATATATATATATAATTACTACTTATTGGTAAAAACATAGCTATGTTTTTATTTCAAAAAACCGCTAACGGATTTAGAAGAATTTGAAGATTTATTAATTATAGAAAATTCTTTCGAACTTCTTTACCACGTGTTAAGCCGACTGGCAATGACATAAAAAATAAATTTAATTAAATAAATTTAGTGCAAAGCCTAGTTTGATATATTTCTCTACATTAATCCTGGATGAAGCTATAAAGTAATTAAATCTTGCACATCATGGTATTCACTATTTGTCGTCCCTTCCTGCAGATCCGGTCCACCACAGATAGATTACTATACGACGGTGGGTATATATGGGCAAGGGTATACTCGTGTGTTAGCGTTAAAGATTATTCTGCCTGAAATGATCCCTTTAATCGCAGTCTATTCATTTTCTGTCACCGTAATCAACCTAATCCATTTTAATGGCCCCTGCTTTTAGGGGAAAACTCCCATCTCGATCCCATTCCAAATGACTTCAAAAACTTACCACCATGGTTTACAAAAACTTATTAATTGGAAAATTAGCATTGCATTGGCATAAATATGTTGCAACTTACTTCAATTTGGTATAAGTAAGTACTTAAAGCTTTAAAAGCTTGCAAAAGGCTTACATGTTCAAATATAAAGACAGTATGAGATATACAAAATAAGGATGAAGTCTATGATGTCTACCTCCAGCCCGATTTATTTCTAGCCAAAATAAGAAAGAACTTCAGTGTGCAATGTATACCTATCAACTGCTTGATCCCACTACAAACGTGATCTCGCTTTTCCTTTTTAAGTTTTTGAGGTCGCTAAGATCAAAACCATTAGTTTCTCTCTCCGAGGTCACATTCAGAATAATTTCAGACAATGTCGAATAAGTGGGACCCACGATCATAGACCTCTGTTAAACACCTGAGACCGAATCTTTAAGTCGCTTCAATGTCAATATTATTGTAAAATCTTCGCATGAGTAAAGATTTGATTGCTCGTATTCTGTTTACACGACCTCTAGTTCAGGCTGAACAGACATGTGTGTGATAGTAATTAAATTTGATTATTTTTCTTCCTTTGAATTTGTTCTTGAAGTTACCTCAATACCTTAAGACAATATTTTATGACTCTCCCAAAAACATGCCGACCTACGATCCAAACTCAGTTGTCTCAAAATCCTCCATATGTGATACGTGACTAGATATGCTTGTCGGACTTCTTATGAATTTGAATGGAGCACCCTCAGAAACCTATATAAGCGATGGCAGGACTTCAGTGCTCGTCTTTTTGAGAAAAACAACACGATCATGAAATGACCTTTCACAGAAAAGGCTTGATAATTATGTGATGGGATGCGGCAATATTGACATTGGAATTTGTTTTAGGTATTTACCTCAATTTGACGTTATTTGATAATAAAGGGGGAGGGTAGTGGAATCGAAAAGCTTAACAATTTTTACTTTGGTACAAAATAAAGTAGACCGAAGACAAGCTTTGTGGACCATTCTTCCTTTTATACTTGATTACTTGAAGGCTATTTTGTGGTCTGAGGATGTTCCTGATAGGATGAGAAGGAGATGATGCACCAATTGGCGCTAGGCTTACGACTTTGGTAGGAACTGACCCTGTAAAGCGTAACAGGGCTAGAGCTTTACGCTTATTTCGTTTGGCAAAGTCAAGACCATAGTTGTAATTTATCGCCAATGTATGCATCATCTTCTACCGTCTTTACTCTCCAGAGTGATAAAATATTCACCCAACAATCATGGAGGTCTCATATATTTATAGTCTCTCAGGTAGTGAAGCCACCACATTGCAAGTGTTACTAACCGAGTGATAGTGAAGTGAACTTGAAGTGAACTAATTGACTAATATCATCATGTTCGAGAGGAATCATCTCTTTCCCACGATGCGCATGTTCGCTCCCAAACACAAAAAGAGAGAAGAGGACTCTCCCCGGCTCCATCTTCGGCGCAGATCCTCCATGTCTGATCTGGACAAGCTGCAACCTCCAGAGAATCTCCCTGACCTTGTACGAAGCACCGCAGGAGGACTGGAGGTCAAATCGATAGCCAGCTCGCTGCCACATAGTCCGCAGATAAGCAAGTCGCTGGTGGCGAGTAGTACTGCTATCAGTATCAGGGGTTAGTTTGTAAATAGGTCATTATAATATCAGGTAGCCAAATAAGTTAGTGCGTTTTTTAGTAGAAAGATATAATTTTTTATTGACAAACAATAAGACACTATTTATTCGTCGAAGTAAATACCATCACATTCAATGACCTTTTGCCAACGTAGAACCAATTTTTGTATGCCGGTATTGTAGAACTCATCGGATTTGGAGTAAACAAATTGGCGTACTGCATTTATTACACCATCTCGAGTTGTGAACTGTCGCTGCCTCATACAGTTGTCAAGAGACAAAAAAGGTCATAATTACTGGGCGAAATGTCGAAGGAATATAGCGGGTGTGGTAACGATTCCCAACCGAGTTCAGAAATTTTTTTCCGGGTCACTTTTGCAGTATGAGGCTTGGCGTTATCCTGCAAGAATATCACTTTCTTCCGATTGATCAAAAAGGCTGTTTCTGGATTAGTGCTGCTTGTACTCGTTGAAGCTGCTCACAATACAAGTTAGCAGTGATGGTCTGACCCTTTCCAAAAACTAATACTGGACAATTCCAGTTGCTGTCCACCAAACCCACAACAAAACATTGTTTGGGTGCAAGGAAGCCTTGGGTGTGTGTGGTACCGAATCAGTAGGCGACAACCAATGATACGAACGCTTAAAATTCGAACACCAGATCCATTTTTCGTCGCAGGTTAATAACCGATTAAGAAATGGTTCAGAAGCGTTGCGTGAAATGTTTACTGGATAAATGGTAAGACGACTTAATTTGTTATCATTTGTCAGTTCATGTGGGACCGATTTGCTTAACTTCCACTTCTTTCCTAGCTGATGAAGATGCAAACGAATAGTTTCAGGACTCACTTTGAACATTTCTGCAAGTTCTTGGCACGTTGTCCTGAAGCTTGCGTCCACAACCTGTCGAAGATCCTTGTTGTTCATGATTTTGGGTCTCCCTGAGCGCGGTTCACCGCTCAAACTAAGATCCCCGGAGAACCACTTCTGTGCTGTTCGATCACTAACGGCATCATCTCCGAATGCGGTACATATTTTTCGCACCGCCGCTGCAGTTTTTGTGCAAAGTTTGTACTCATACAGTAAACAACTTTGAATTATTGTTTTATTCGTCGCCATTTATTAAAGCTAGGTATGTAACAATTTTCAGCAACTTATTATGTGTGTGAGAAAAGAAGGATTCATACTAAAGTGACAATAGGTAACAAACAATCGCTATCGATCGACAACATCCATGGCAATGTGGGATATACAGCAAGCGCACGAACTTATTTGGTTACCTGATATATACAGTATAATTGTGACCACCGAATTCAATTAGGTTTGTCCATAGTCCATATGTTTAAAAGGTAGAGTTTGTCGCCACAATTACGTAGATTCTCTGCATATGTCGACGTACATGCTTTTCTTTGGACAGAAAATTTCAGCAGCCAACTGAATTAGATGTTTTATCGTACACAAGGCAGGGGTACCTACTATCTGTGTTGCGATGTGAATTATTTTGACACAAATAGGGAGAAATTCAGTAAGGTGACAGAACTAGAGTAAACATTTGTTAATGTTACTATCGCATACGAACAATTCCAGCTTCATTCATTACTATGGGAGGTTAAAATACGAAAAATTATATGTATACGAGGGTGGTCCCAGAAGTACCCGACCCAACGAAGAAAATAAAAAAATTTTGAAAAAAATGTATTTACTTTTCAACATAATCTCCTTTGAGCTCTATACACTTTTCCCAACGATGTTCAATAAGTTCGATACCTTTTTTATATTAAGAACTGTCTTGCTCGTCGAAATAGCCATCACTTCTTCGTCGTTGGAAAATCTTTGACCACTGAGCCATTTTTTCAAGTCTGGAAACAGAAATAATCCAAGGGGGCTAAATCTGGTGAATAGGGTGCATGAGGTAGCAATTCAAACTTTAATTCGTTAATTTTGGCCATTGCAATAAGGGATTTTTGAGCTGGTGCATTGTCTTGATGAAAGAACACTTTCTTCTTAACCGAATGCGGCTGTTTTTGCTTGATTCCATCGCTCAAACGTTGCAATAAGTTCGCATAATACTCGCCGTTGATAGTTTTACCTTTTTCAAGATAGTCAATGTAAATTATCCCACGCGCATCCCAAGAAACCGACGCCATAACCTTGCCTGCAGATGAAACGGTCTTCGCCTTCTTTGGAGCCGGTTGTCCCTTTTGAGTCCATTGTTTTGATGGTTTTTTGTCTCGGGTGTGAAGTGATGGACCCATGTTTCATCCATGGTTATGAAGCGATGCAAAAATTCTGCTTTGTTGCTGTGAAACTTCGCTAAACACTCAATTGAAATATCTTCACGACACTGTTTTTGCTCGATTGTGAGCAATCGCGGCACTCATCTTGCACACAGCTTTCTCATGTCCAAATTTTCAGATAATATGCGTTGAACTGCACTTTTTGAAATGCCTACCATGTCTGCTAGCTCGCGCGCTTTCAATCGACGATCATTCAGTACCGCTTTGTGAATTTTCTTCACCATTTCTGGAGTCGTCACCTCATTTGGTCGACCACTGCGATGCTCGTATTGACAGCTCATACGGCCTCGTTTAAACTCTTCTACCCAATATTTTACTGTTCTAAACGAAGGAGCAGACTCACCCAGAGTAGAATCCAGTTCAGCTTTTATATTGGTTGGGCTGAGGTCTTTGAAATAAAAGTATTGTACCACATAACGATGACCAATTTTCTCCATTTTCACAAATTCACTGAAAATGTCCAGTATTGATAGCTGTCAAACAAATACTAAACAACGTGGCATCTTCAAACTTGACACACACGCTTTATAGGTCGCATACTTTCTGATAAAATCATATTTTTCAAACAACGATCGCCGTCTCTAGGTCAGGCCGGGTACTTCTGATACCACCCTCGTATTTCAACAGACTGGAAATGGTAGGGCACCTTGCTTGAGTTTCAGTCAGTTTTTATGAAAAGGTGTCTATGTTGTGTGTGATTACTACTGTTATACCCTTATGACTTATATTGAGCTATTAAGAATATCTATGAGTGGTATAATTAATTTGATATAATTTATAATTTTAGGCATACTGATTTATTAACAAAATATCATGGCGCTAAAATAAGTAAGTGAGAATATAAGGACCTACCTTTGGAACTTTTAGATTTAAAATGAGAGTAGATAAGCTATGGTTGGCCCTTATCCGTATTCACTCACAGGCTCTGGTTAGTCATCAATGCTTTACATTTTTCAATATGGTGTTAGGTGATAAGCTCTGTTAGCAAACCTTAGACCAAGACTCAGATCTCAAAAAACCAAAACCAACTAGGAAGAGAAAAATTAAGGCGGAACTATCATCCCAACGTTGAGGTACATGTCCGTTCGCAGCATCGATGACTATCCTTTATCAAAACTTACCGATAAAAAATCTACTTTTATTCATCTTAAGCTGCTTTGTGTGGTCGATAAAAATATTCACGTCTGGAACACTAGAGCTATTAAAAAAACTCACGCACTTGTACGATTTCATAAATGAAACAAATACCTTCTCCTTATACCTAATCCGAATTCGTTGGTTATGATAGAGCATTGAATAAGGTCAGTCAAACAAATAACCATCATAGTATGACCAGAAGACGTAAGGATTGTTGCATACATAATATAGTGATGTCCGTTTTATATTTTATAGCCTCAACTAATCCTTTCATACTATCAGCTAAGTAATTTTGTCAGAAAACTAACCATTATCTGCCAAGCGTACCGCAGTTGCGTTTTTGTTATGGACTGAAAGGTGACTATGAAATGAAAGAAAAGGACATCATACACGCAAACTATAGGTTTGGAGCGTATGTTATACAAATGCATTAATCCAATTATTTCTATTGCTGTAATGTAATGGACGACAAGAAAACAAAAACAAAAGTTTTCTGTAAGTTTATCGCCGATTTCCGTAGATAATGACATTTAACAATGACAACAAAAAGTTGGAAGGCTAGAGAGTAACATTTTGTTTACCACCTTTTACTGATTTGGTAGTCATCGTTTCCTGCGTGTAATCTGAAATAAAACTTAAATCAATACAATCATTAAAGAACCACAGATGGTCGTAACAATATGAGCTCATCGAGGCCGATTTAGGTTTTAACATGCTTAACTTATCCTTATATGAAGTATAAAAAAGCGTTTGAACTTTAGAAGTTGGTACTGCTATATTCAACACACTTCGAATTTGCTGTGGAATGCCTTACTTTTGTGAGGTATAAAACTTTTAAACAGGCACTTCAATAAACTTCAAATCTCATATTAAGCGTGGGCTTAACTGCGACCCTTAATGTTGATGACTTTCTGCGATAAAGTAAAGGGTTATTTCTGCACCCGAAGCACGAAAAAAGTTCAAAATTCTGCGACCTGGCATTTGGTGTATTATATCTTAGATCGGGCTCAATTTGTTTCCTATACAGGGTGTAAACGTTATGGTAGTCATTATTGAAATGGGTAATAGGGGGGGTCAAACCAAGTCAAAAAGTTCATATGACCCATGGTCCTAAAGTCAATAGATTTTTGTCTAAATGGCTTTATAGTTCACAACTTTAAGTGCTTTATATCGACCACAATTACCACAATCTTACTAATTTTTATAATCTAATCTAAAACGTTTGTAATTGGGTAATTAACAAATAAACGCATTAAGTTTCTAAGTTAAGCCAAAATTTGTAGTCAGTAAGTAAGTTTCATTACATTAAATATTTAAAACACACGTGACAACAGCGCGTCGGTCTTTGATCGCTCTTATCGAACTGGCAATTGATCGCAAAACGATAACAGTGGTTAGTTATCATTTTGCATAGATGAATTACTTTATCGTTTTGTCGAGCAGAACATCGGGCATGTTGTTTTGTTTTTGTTCGCGTACGTTGTCGTGTTTATTTACAATGTTCTCGAATCAAGAGTTCGCCGACATGTTGTTAGTTTACGGTGAAGCTCATCAGAATTGCAGCTCAAATTTATCGCGACACATTTTGCCAACGGGTAAACCCAGACAGAAGGACATTTGTGCAAGTGTACCAAAGGCTTCGAGATATAGGAAGTGTTCAGAATACTAATATTTGCATTCGTGAAAGACAGGTTACTGTAGAGCAGGAGGAACAAATTTTAAATATCGTGGACATCAATGCAGATTCAGCACTCGGGAATTAGGTCGCCGCGTAGGACTATCGCATACCGTAGTCCATAGAATCCTACGGGAAAATTTGCTTTATCCCTACCATGTACAACGAGTGCAGGCCTTGTTACCAGAAGACTATCGTCGCAGACTAACATTGTGTCAGTGCCCAACTAACAATTATCACTCCTATTACAGTTGCAAGAATGATTATACAGCATTCCTTACACAGCATTGTATACTGCAAGAACATTAGAAAAACCCTCTTAGAACAGCTATACAAGCGGAATGGGCACACCTAATAGGACCCTTCAGTCATTTAAGAGGTTGTATAAGGGCTGCAGGTAACAGTTATAAAACAAAAGTGTAAGCCTCTTGCAGCCGCTATAGCAAATGTCCGTCAGTGCAAGATTCAGTTTTTGTCAACTATACAACTATTCTCTTACATGATTCTACTTTATTGCAACCAAACTATTTCCTATGTATTGTGTAGACGAAGAGAGGAATATATAATTAACACGTTACAGTCATCTTGTTTACTTACATATCGGCCATTGTGAATTTCATACACTGGTATATGATAAACTTCTACACTTTGATATAGGGCTACTGAATTACTTGCGCAGCAAATTTTATTGTGATTGTTGTGCAAATTAGTTACCCAGTTTCTACGGGCTTCGTATTTGATTCATATTTTGACAATGATCAAAAGTATGTCTAGATTTTTAAGATGAAAAACTGAACTTATCAGCATTAAATCTTCCACAAATCGTATATTTACACACAAT